AAAAAAAAAAATCTATGGAGTATGCAGGAGAGAACGGTCAGGTGTACTATGGTGGTCTCATGTAGAGACACTCGATACTTTGCTGGGGACAGTTTACAATTTGTCCTTTTTATTACTTACTCCATCTAAGGGCAAATTTAGAGAAGTAATATAAAGAAATAGACTGACTGTATGGAAAACAGAGGGGGCTGTCTAAATGAAAAGGTGGATCTATTGCCAAGGAAATGGAGCAAGTCCACACTAGATATCTCAGTTTGGCTCAAGCTGGATGTGGGAAATGGAGGGTAGAGTCTCTGGAAAACATTGAGGGGCCAAGCAATATCCTAGACAGGATCTCCTAGAACTTTATAAAAGGAAGAAAATGTCTAACACCTTAAGTTGATTATGGGGAGGAGAGCTTCAAATGGAGAGATAATGGATTTAAGAACTCCATATTTGTTACAAACAAGAAATCATGCAAGTGGTCTTTACTTTAGAAGCCCTTTAAAGCTCAGTAGAAGGTAGCAAAAGAACACTGTGTTGAGTCTGTTCTCCAGCCTTCTTTCAAGTTGTCCCTCCTGTCTCCATGCCCTTTTTGCCCTTAGGTTGCCTGTGGAAGAAAGTATGACAAGACGTGGCTAATGGATTCAATCCAGAGCCATTGCAGTATCCCCTTCACTCCAGTGGACGTAAGAGGATGGTGAAGCCAGATGAGGGGGCACAGGGAAGGGGGAGAGACCTGACTCAGCTGGGGCCCTTGGCTTCTGACACTATTGTTGTTGCCTTCACTCCCTGCAGTTTCACTACGTGAAAAACAAGGCCCAGTTCTTTGTTCAAGATGCTAGCATTGCCTCAGCATTGAAGGATATCAGCTACAAGATTTGTGACCAGGAGAACCGGAAGGTATGTATTGAGGTCATTATGTGTACTTAGTCCTTGGGTAGGAGGACAGGCAGCGCTGGTCACCTTCTGTAGGACTAGAGTTCCTGGTGCTAACCCCACCTCTTCTTCCTGCAGATAGCTATCTTTGTCAATATGTCGGCTGTACCTTACTCAGTGCGGGATAAGTTGGAGCCAGAAGAAATGGAACAGCTAAAGGTAATGCAGACTCAAAGGTTCATGTTTGCCCCCAGACCAAGCTCTTTCTCCTCCACCCTGATTTCCCTGTCACCACCACAGCCTCAGACCTCTCTCTCCATCTCACTCTGCAGCTGGCCATGTGCAAACGATATGATGAGTACAAACGATATGATGCCTCTCAGAAAGCTCTTGATCTCCAGTTGCTCCGCTATGACCCAGGTATGTCTGACAGCAGTAATTCTAGGGCACTTAAGGGCAGAGGGTTCTGCCGGGGAGGAAGACTTAGGGATGGTAACAAGGAGGTTTTGGTGCTGGTCCTGGACCTCTCTCAGCCTTATTTCCTACTCTTGGCTTCCTGAAGATTTGGTGAGATGTGATGTTGATATAATCCTGAATAGAAGAAACTGCATGGCTGCCACTCTGCAGATCATTGAAAAGGATTTCCCTGAGGTGAGGCCCTAGACCCAGTGCTGGTATGATAGGGGGTGGAACAGATGGGACAGAGGGCAGATTTGTCTCCGAGGTCCTACATAGTAAGCATCACTCTACCTCTTCTTCCCCAAAGCTGTTGTCCCTGAACTTACACAACAACAGACTGTACCGACTGGATGGCCTGTCTGATATTATACAGATGGTACCCACAGTCAAGATCCTGAACCTTTCCAAAAATGAGGTGAGAAGAGAGGCAGATCAAAGATGGGTTGAGAGTGGATGGTAGTGTTCATTAAAGTGATGACAGGAAGTAAGCGAAGGTACCTGTGGGAAAAGGAGTGGGCTGTGGGTTCAGGAGCTGGGATGTCCCTTTTCCCTCAGACTATTTTCAGTTTTTCGCCTATATTTCTCAGCTTAACTCTACCTGGGAGTTGTGCAAGATTAAAGGCCTGAAACTGGAAGAGCTATGGCTGGAAGATAACCCTCTGTGCCACACCTTCTCAGAGAAATGCACTTACATAAGGTCAGTGTGAGCCCCTCTCACCATTCCTAGGGTCCTTTGACTTCTGGAAGCCTGAACTACCCCTGACAGTACCATATCACAGATGGTGGCAGCCCTGGTCCTCTGGGAGGGCTAGAGGCCCCACCTTCTCTTCTCTATGTCCCTCGTCTCTGCTCAGAGGTCTTCTATCCTTCCTCTGACCTGTTTACCTGTGATCATTGTCTCCAGTGTGGTTCTTTACTCTGCATTAGTTGTCTCTGGCATGCCCAGCAAAGACATGCTCCAGGATGCAGGGCTCCCTTCCTCCTACCACCAGGACTATGAGTGTTGAGCCTTGAGGTAGATACTGCTGACCTGGACTGAGAAACTTCTTCCACCCCAGACTCATGCTGAGACAGTCCTTCCTGCTTCTGAGATGATAGAGTATCCCCAATCTATTCTGGGAGGAACCTTTTTCCCCCTAGCTTTGAAAGGGTCTCCCCTCAAATCCCAGGTTGACACGGGGACTTTCCTACCCCATGCCAGGTACTCAGGCCCAGTTCATTTCTTTAGTGCAATACTAGGAATGAGCCATCCTTGGTAGAATCCAGAGTTCCCTAGTCAAGGGGCTAGAAGTGAGCTACCACTGCCCTGGCAGGTTTGGCTCAGTGGTTGAAGTGTTGGCCAGTGGACCTAAGGGTTTCAATTTTTAGCATGTACCTTGGATGCAAGATAGATCCCTGGCCCCTGTTGGGGTACATGGTTAGAAGCAACCAGTTGATGTGAGAGAGATGTTTCTCTCTCCTCCCTCTCCCTCCCTTCCACTCTCTTTCTAATGATCAATTACATTACATTGACAACCTCCACACCTGCCCTCAAAAAATATCCTTGGGTGAGGATTGTAAAAAAAAAAGAAGTGAGCCACCAGCAATGAGCAGGGGGCCTCTTGCAGCAGCAGTGGAAGGCAGACAGCAGAGGGGTTTGAAGAGACAGAAGGGCCACTGATCCTTCCTTCACACAACACATCACCTGCCTGATCCTTCAGAGGAGCCCTGGGTAGCCTGACGTGGGTAGGATTCCTCAGAAAAGAAACAACTAAGACAGACAAAGATGCACAGGGGCCATGAAGAGAGAAGGTGGTTTTTATATGAGTGGGCCACAGATCCCCAAGGTTAAGCTGAGCTGGGGCCTGGCCATTTACTCCTTCTGGGAAGGTGTCCTGATGCCGTGGGTGGTACGTGTCCCATGCCCAGTTCGCATTGAGCTCCCACAGCTGACAAAGGCTCAACCAACATTCTAACAGGCCAACAGAC